CCCGATGGAATGGAGTCGACTTGATGAAGTTGACGAATGCACGACTGCAAAATGCACCAGGATGGCAATGCCAGCTCGACACTCTGAACAGAGGAGTGGGCATCTTTGTCGTGTATGGCGCGCGAGGGCCGACGCAGCGAAGCAGCAGGACAACATACGCTCGTGTCAACGGAAGGTAGACACGAGAGCCCGCACATGAGTGCGGCACGCATGGACGCGTTTTGCAATTTGAAAAGCCTGTCGCACGAAAACGCCAGGACGATGGCTCCAAGTGCTTCGGGTAATCTGAATGTGAACGAATCCCCGTCGATCCGTTCGCATTCCTTCACAAGACTGCTCGACGTAACCTCGAGCGAACTGACTGTTGGACGTAAGATTTCGAGAGAAAATGCAGCATGCGTTGTCGAGGCTGGTGTTGGATATTACGACTTTTGGTACTGCGTCGACCCGAGAGTAAAGCTGTCGTTCCCGCCTTTGGCAAGCGCTTCGCCGAGGGCTGTCCCGACCAAGTGCGTGTTGGTGATCTTAATGTCGCGTTGCTTGCGCTGTCGCATAACCTTTTTGTTGCCTTTGCCGTGGACCTACCGAGAACCAAATCGTTCGACCATTTTGTCCCGAGAGAACGACTGCACATGCTCCCAAAACATACCTTGCGCATTTTCGATCGATGCAAGTTGGCTTCGTGCATATCTCGCGTCATGAGCCCGCATTGCAGCAGCTTTCTCTCCAACGACAGCCGATCGGCTGGCCAGTCTCGCAAGGTATCACGCCACAATTGCCGCACGTCGTTCGTGCAACCTATGAGGTGCCAAAATGACTTGGTCGAGTTCAGGTCGAGGAGATGATAGCTACCGTGCTTTAGGAGAGGCACCGTGAGTCCACGACCAGGTTTTGGTGCGGCATCCCAGCGCTGCAGCATGGACACGTTTCCCCGAGGATCGGGATAGGCGGTATCGAGCGGCAAGTGCCCCGCGTCAAAGTTCAAATGGTAGCTACAAATGGATGCGTCGCCGTGAGATGGAATTGAAACTAATGTTGAGCTTCATCATGTACCGTGTTTTCTTGGTGGCCGACAAATTCAAATCGCGCACGGACGATACGCTCTTGGACGCCATCCCAGCCATAAACATTTGCGGCTGGGAGCTGCCGCCGCCAGTCTGGCTCGCGCATCGTGATTCGAATGAAACAAAGGCAAAAGCAGGTCGACATCAAGTTGAGTCGCAGTACATGAATAAAGCACATCAACCATGCTGCTTCATGCAATATCGAATGGACATTGCAACGGCATCGTTGCCATAAACGTACCTTGGGTGCTGCCGATACGCGAAACCAGTGGTCCCCAACTTTGACAGCGTCGCCACGTCGGACTTCGTTCGTGATATCTTCTTTCGTCGCCACCATGTAGCATCCTTCGGACGCAAGTGCATGACGACTGGAATAGATGGGACAGTGCCTCACCGTGCTCGACCAGACCAGTCCCCGACAACTCGACAAGGAATTGGGCCCCACGCGGGTAGTACACGTCATTGCCGTCCTCCGTGTTGCGGATGCAGATAACGGTCCCAATGCGCGTGAGATCGCGGAGGTCGTCTTCCACGTTCTTGTAGCAATCCTTCAGATCACGAAAGGGTATGCCTTCAGGAGACTAATGCGTTTCTGTGAGCCAACGAAGCACGTGGCCATGCGGTGAAATGACCCGATTCAGTTGTCGAAGGACGTCGTTGCGGCTTTTAATGTCGAACTTGGCCTTGTACGCAATCTTGTCCCCTTCAATCCGGACCTTTGGGTTGTTTCGCACCCGATCGCAGACTTCGTACTCGCCAGGCGAAGCCAGATCCTGCGATACCGACACATGAGAACGACCTGTAGACGAGCTGAGGACAGTACAATGCCCGTCTTTTGGTAGATTTGCGGCACAGTGACCGCAGCGTGGTTTGCAATCGAGTTCAAGTACTCGAGAACTTTCTGCAGTCTCCCCACCACAGTTTCTGGGACGTCTGTGGCCAAGCAGTCCCATGAGCATCAACGAAGAACCGTGTTGCAGATGTGCGTACCCTTCGGGGCGACCTCGGAGACCCCTGGGTCGGTGGACTCGGGCGCCTTGGGCTCAGGAACCGCCTTGTTGTACGCAAGGGTCTTCCACATTGCAGAATGCCCCGAGTAAATGTGAAAATCCTTTTTATTTCAATATCACCTCCATATCGGATTATACAGGTTACGGGATGTTTAAAAAAGCCGTTCAAAAAAATTCTGAATACTAGAATTATTGCAACAATTAGAAAGGTGTGCCACCGCTTCCTCGCGCTTCCGCGGTTGCGGGACCGAGGAGCCGATGGCGCGGCAGATGGAAGGCCAGAGCCCACACGCCAGTTCCCAAATGGATGCACGCGTACTTGCTATCCCAAGACAAATTGGCTATGGCCTCCAGGGGGCCTCGAAATTCGAGTGCTGCTGTGTCCAAAGTTGCCTGTGCCGCTCCACTGAGCCACAGACTTGGACGGAGACGGGGCGACATTCGATGGGATGTGGTGGTAAATGTCAGGACGGTGTGACTGTGGAGGGGCGGCGGAACTGGCCGAGGGCTGGTGTTGGCGCTGGTTGTTGTCGGTGTAGCCGTATCCCGGTTCGTCCTGCAATACCAACGGTGACGGTACCGCGATGGTTAGGTACTCTAAACAAATGACGGACCTGGGAAGTCATCATAGCCATCGCCCCGGCGGATCCAAGCGTGCTGCGTGACGACGGGGGTCGTTGCGATGACGATTGCTGGTACTTGTCTGACGACATGGGGCGGCCATCGACGTGCTGGAACTCGTCGTTGTTGTTTTGAGAACGGCTCCTCGGGTCGCATCTAGCGTTCCTCGCAATTCATGGCAATGGCTCGAGCATGACCTCAACATACTTATTCCACAGCGGTGGAGGGGCGACCCAGTGAGGTTGGTGCGGTCGATGCATGGGTTGTTGCGATTGCTGCTGTTGATACAGAGTTGTAGGTTCCATAGCGTGGGGACGTGGGTACGACGCCGTGGTAGGAGTATACAAGTTGCCGCCATGGTATTGTGGTGGCGGCGCCGCGAGAGGGGTGGACTGTGAGGCTGATGAGTACCCGGAGCTCCGATTCCACAGTCATCGGTCACTACGTACAGGAGAAGGGCTGAGTCGGGGAACTTCATAGCTTTGAGCTCCAGCAAGCGGCGCTTGGCCACGTCGCCTGTACACGGAGTCAGACGTGCATGGCTCTCGATCGCCGAGCTGCACTTACTTGTTCGAACCGCCTATCGAGTGAAAAACTCCTGGCGATGGCGACGGGTTCGTGTTGGCCGGGACAGGGTTGATATCGTACGGGTTGTGGTAGTGCCCTTGTCCATCGTGAGCGAATGGGTTGAACGAGCTGCTACCGCCTCCAAAACTCCGGCCTCGAGGGTCGTGGCCGCTCTGTGCAGCCCTGTGTTTGACGCAGTCAGGATCGATCCATGCCACAGGGGGAGTGTACGTAGAGGGGCCTGCTTGAAGCGTCGGACCGGCACCAAACATGGCGGCACTACGGGTTCCGACGGTCGGTCGCACACACGTCGTACTCACATACGTACGAGCGAGGCTGGCCATGCGACATCGACGGAAATCCTCCGCGCCTGCGTTGAAAACCACGATGAACAGCAACGACTTGGCAAGGAGAGAGTGCAGCAGTGGCGCACCCTGTCATGAACCCGCGCTGCACAATCCAAACAGGACGACACTGCGGCCGTGTATTTATAGTTGACCAACCGCTCTCGTCAATAAAAGCAACCTCCTTACTCCACTACACTAGCTCGGCGACAGGAGGGAAGGACCCACGGGCCACCTCGACCACCAAGGGTAACCAGAAGAGCGCCCCCGAGAAGAAGAGGAGTTGCCACTAACGACATGACGTCCGGAGGGCCTTGGACGTTGGCAAAATAGCCCAGGAATGACCCCAAGAGCGGCTCCCACAGCACGGCGACACCCACAACGAGGGGGCTCACGTACTTGACAGCCAAGTTCATGAGTGTATGGCCTGCAATCCCAGAGACAGCGGCTGCGCTGAGGGCATACCCCGCTCGCTCCGCGTGGCCAAAATACCCAAACAACGCGGTTGGCCCGACCGACGTCACTCGTGTCGTTGGCTCAAAGGCAAGCGACGCCACGGCCAACGTCACTGCTGCAATCAACGTGACTGGAAAAGCATAGATGAAGAGGGGCATGAACTGCCGGCAGCTCGCTCCGACCTCCAAGTACGGAATGACGCCCTGCCACGCGCCCGCGTCGTCAAACACTGAAAAGACCGTGATCCACCCGCTGAGGTGGCACGATCCCGACCCGTGCGAGACAGAATGGCAGATGCGCTGCCAAAACTCGACGTCGGGCTTGTTGGCGGCCGCTGCCACGAATTGGTCCAACACTGGTGTAAGCATGCTCATCCACTTTGTTGTCAGATCACCAAACGTGGCGAGTTTGTCCGCTCGTCGGCGAATGTCTTCCCAATCCGAGCCAGTCCCGAGCAGCGTCACCGTCGGGATGCCGCACTGGAGCTCGAATTTGTACGAAAAGTACTTTTTCATGGACGCCATCATGACAACACTGCCGACGATGCGGTCGTGAAACGTCGTCGTGCTGAATGACGGCAGCACCCACTCGCTGAGCGCAGGGTCGACGAGGTGGTCCGTCATTTGATCGATCATTTGGGTTGCCATGTATCCGTAGTCCACAGTTCG